TGTTCATATTAGTTCCTTACATTTTTTATATTTCCGAATTAGTTGCTTTAATCGGTGGAACTACTATTAGGTACCTCAATTCTTAAATTAATTCAATATCCTCAAACTATAAAAATTGCTATTATGTCTTTCAATTCTCATATATTATTTCAAATGAATCCCTCAAATCATTGCTTCTAGTCGTAATTGAATAGATTAATTTGAAACGATTAATGGAACTGGGGAACCTAATAGCAATTTCAATAATACGAGGGACTAATTTTGAATTAACTTAAGAAGGCGTAATAGCTATTTTTTGAGGGACTTATTTCAACATGTAAGATTTAAGGGACTAATATCAAAGAAAGTTGTTTTTTTCCAATGGAAATCTCTATCGCTTTAACGGGTAATCGTTGGTATTAAATAAACTATAACAATAGAACTATGGATTTAATGCTAAGTATATTAAGAATGAACACAAGTGTTATATTCATGAACAGCTATGATTAAACAAGTGATCACTCAATTATCAAGGTTATACCAAAGATGATTCAAATCCTAAAGTGGAATAGATTGTGGGTAGTCCTAAGGGGTTGTTTGGTTCATTTCCATAAAATTATGGAAATGAATTTTCTGACAAGAAACTAAATTTAAATTTTTTTTAGGATATCTAAGCAATCCAAAACTTATGTTTGATATGGAATGATAAAGTAAAGAATAGAAAAGAATATTCAAAACTCAAGTTTGTTTCATTTCCAAATAATAAGAAGAGTTGTGAGAGGAATGATAAGTTGTCAGCGGGTTGTCAGCTTTTTAGCTCATTTCCTAGCCAAAAGATAGGAAATTGGCTGTCCAAAAAAAGTCACTGTTTAGTGGCTTTTTAAGAAACTTTTTCTTGAAAAAAAAAATAAAACAAACCCAACTTTTGGAATCCTAAAATGGGTAAAAACCTACTTTTTGTTCCAAATCCTAAAAAACATCATGTTTCCAATAATTTAGGGTAAAAGTAAAGCTCGCTTGTTCTTTTATGTTTTGTTGTTGTATTCTTTGAAATATTGTTTGAATGCTAATGAAACATACTAAAATAACTATTTAAATAAAGGGAAAATTGCCCTCAAATACCCTACTGTTGTTTCCAAAAAAAAGCCCTCGGTTGTAAAAGGAAAAAAAGATGTTTTTGGCTACCTTCTATCAAGCAACTGTGAGAATATTATCCTTAGTACCCCTTTTCTTATTAAATAATATTCCTCCTCATCTTCTTCGTCTGCTTCATCCTCTTCAAAACCTATCTATTTCCCCCCAAATTGAAACTATAGAATAAGGATTGTCTGCTTCATCCTCATTGTCCCTTGTAGAAA